AGCGGGCGGACACCCCGGGCCGGGGCCTGGGCGTTGGGGCTCAGCCTGGGCCTGGGCCGGGGCTGAGCCTGAGCCTGGGGCTGGGGCTGGGACTGGATCTGAGCCTGGGTCTGGATCCCAGCGCCCGCCCGAGCCGTGCGGCCTCCGGGTCGTACTGTGCATTGCTGTGGAGGCAAGTTGCAGGCAGACTGAAAAGCAGCATTCAGGCCTCAGCTTAAAGGAGTTCTTACTACTGAATTTCGACTTTTGGTTCGTGGTTGTTGGAGTGGTTTGTTTAAGCCTATGCAAGGAATGCATAGCCCTGCATTTCGGAGAGCTGCTCTCTGTCGGTACTCTGACCCACGGCACTGCTTTTGAGTTTAAAGACGGAGAGTTTGGAACTCTGGGAATTACTGCCTTAAGAAGCCTTTTGCCCCCTAGAGCTTTAGTTTGGCCGACCCACTGGCATATGGAGTGCTTTATTTTGGCTTGGGGGAGGGACGTGTTCCTTGTTTGAGCTGTTTACTTACATCCTTCTCTGTTTCCTGTTTCTCTTTCAGGCGGATTTTGATGTTGATCACTTTGTATCAGACTGCAGGAAACGTGTGCAGTTGGAAGAGCTCAGGGAGGATCTAGAACTCTATTACAAACTCCTTAAAACTGCTATGGTAGAACTCATAAATAAGGACTATGCAGATTTTGTTAACCTTTCAACAAATCTAGTAAGTGTTATTAGTTGCACTGTGTAGTTCAGACTTGATGTATTTTAGTGGGATTTTTATTTTTCTCATGAAAAGTACATGACTTTTATTTTGGCATTGTTAGATTTAAGACATCTTAAACTGTGACCCCTTGCACTGAGAGAAACTGAAAGACCATTCCTGTAAAACTTTGCTACTGTTGGCCTGTAGTAAATATGTTAGATCTATGCTCTTTGTCTTGAAAACCTGATTCATTAGGAAGCTAGACTTAAACAAACAGTTTCAGACTGTCAGTAGTTGTAAAATTGAAGGAAATAAATCATTACAATGGAAGAGCAAGTAAGGCCATTCTGATGGATTCCTTAAGGAGACTTTCAACTTCTTGTATGATCAAAATATCTTAAAAAAATTCCAGTCCACTTGACTGAAAATTGTGATTGTAATTGTGCCAATTATACGACTTCAAAGACTGAGGTTTAACATTTTTATGAGAAGAAAAATTTCCCTAGGTTGTGATTTTATTTAACTCTGACATCTTTGCCTGTATTTGAAATAACAGGTTTGTATTGCATTTGAAACTGGAGGTTATAAAGGGAGGGTGTTTTTCTCAGTTCTCTTTCAGTATTATAGGCTTTGTCAGTAATTCACATATGAACTTGGCAAAAAAGTCATATATGTGTTTGTTGTAATGTGTATTGTTTCTGTGTAATTTCTTTAGGTTGGCATGGACAAGGCTCTGAATCAGCTTTCAGTGCCCTTGGGACAGTTAAGGGAAGAAGTTATGGTATGTTCAAAACAGTCATTACAGACTTCTTGGTAAACTTCTTAATTTCGTGTGATGTACAGGATGTCTTTTACTCAAGTCAATAGTTGTTATAATAAACTGCTCTTTGAAAATTGATGACTTAGAGTGGTAGTCAGAGAAGCATAGTGTTTTCCAGCAGTTGTAGTAGCAGTACATTAAAATTTTCCATAGTGCATTTCAACCAAGAGATAAAGGATTCCTGAAGCTTGACAAGTGAATGGACTCTTGCAGGACAAGTTTATGGTGAAATATTTAAACTGTTTTAAAATTTGAGTAGCTCACAGATGGTAGAAGATAATTCAGATGCAGCACAGTCCCATTAAGGACTTATTTTGCTTAGTGCTGTGGTTTAACCTATAACATCACCTCCTTGAAGATGGATCTTATTCTAGCTCTTCCTCAGTGACTTGGTATTCATAGCAAGTGGCAATTTTTGGTCATCTTGGCAGCCAGTTCAAATGGATGTTTGCTGCATAAATGTGCCTTCAAAATTAGTCTTGATGTCTAAACCAGAAGATAGAGTCAGTTAGCATAGAGAAATCTTTATTATGTGAAAAATATTCTTTGTTTCAAGACATAAAAACACAGTGGTTTTGTGGTCTGTTTTTAGGTGAAAGGCTGGTAGTTCTCTCTGAGGTACTGAACACTTCTGGTGGAAGTAATTATACTTTTGGTGGCAATACCTGAGTTATTTAGTTGTATTTGATGCTTTTTCACTTAAGAGTGTAGTTGATGTACTGCAGCTTTTATTAGTCTCATATTCTTATTAATCTGTGTCCTGTTTTAAGTTTAGATTTTTGAGTTTAGTTTTTTTCCAAACCTTAAATGGGTTTACATACTGACTTTTTCTCTCACAGAGTCTTAAGTCATGTGTCAGTGAAGGAATTCAAGCAGTAGATGACCGGATGACTAAACAAGAAGATATCAGAAGAAAAAAGGTACAAGAGATAAATTATTACCTTGAAAAGATTGTCCTTAGGATGACTTTGGTTTTACCATTATCCCAGAGAAGATGAAATTTAGACAATCCTAGGCTGTCTAGATGCACACTGTGCAGAATTTTGTACTTGTAAAAATATATTGACATTTTGCTTGACAGACTTCATTTTTCACAGTGTCTAGTTCTTCATAAATCTCTATTTTACTTTAGTTGCCCAAAATACATATGTTTGATTTAGCTGGATTTTTTTAAAAAGATCATAGTTACTCTTCTTTCTACCTGTAGTACTATATAAACTTATTATGAATGGAATTGAAATAAAACTATGTAGTTTTTACAGGGTGGGGAGCTTGGTAACATTAAACATAACTTTGTACTTAACTTTGAAAAAAATCCGGAATAAGAGCAGCTGTCCTACATTCATGACAAACATCTGTTTGTGGGGTTTTGTGCACTTAGGTGAGCTGTTCTTCAGCTGAGGCATGACTCAAGTATTAAGGTGAAGGGAGAAAACTTACAGCAAAAAAAAAACCCCAAAGAACTAAGAAAACATCAAATGTTTTCTTTAGGTCATGTCAGTCAGGGCTGGGGTCAGACATGAAAAATCTTTCTTTAATTACAGATGTGTGTCCTGAGACTTATTCATGTTATTCAGTCTGTTGAGAAAATTGAGAAGATTCTACATTCCCAAGGCCCTAAAGAACTGTCCTCATTAGAGGGAAACAGGTAAAAAAATCTGTCAGTGTTCAGTTTTGTTAGTAATTGATGGGACTAACTCAATTTCATGGTGGTGTTGATGGTAAATTTGTGAGCATTAGGATATATCTTTAGAAATGTAACTCTGATGGAATAAATGACTGTAATGCTAGTATTTTCTCAGGTTTAGTCTTTCAGAGAACATCTGAGACTCCCAAGTTCCAAATAGCCTGTTATGCTTTCAGTAAGCAAACTTTTTCAAATCGGTGTGCAATAGTTGTTTTTTTTCCCTTGGAAATCTCTAATCTTGTCATGTCTGAAATACTCCATACAGTACAGTTTATTCCAATATCATTTGGAAGTGAAACAGATGATAACTTTTCTTGTTTTTTCTGCTTATGTATAACTGAAAAGGCTGCTGCAAGAATAGCCGAAGGCAGGCAAGGCAAATATGTAATACTTCTGGTACGGGGAAGGTTTGTGACAAATTCCAGTCAGACTCCCAAGTCTTGGTTTTTTTATCAGCTTCATGGAATATGCCCCCTCCCTCTGCTTTTTCTGGGGAATGGAAGATACCTTTCAGCCAGTTTTTGAACTGATGTACCAATCATGCACTTGAAATGCTTGGCTGGGATGCAAGTGCAACTTAAGCTGAAGGAAAGAGACAATGTGAGACTGTCTCTTCAGTTTAGTGCTCTGGGTCACATAGTAGTGGGGGAGGTATACAGAAAAGAAGGCTAATACCTGGAGGGACAAAGCATAAGCAGATGTTTTCAGTCAGAGGGAGGCACTTTGCAGAATTATGTTTGCAAGCAAAATTGTACTCAAGTGCCTGAAAATCTGGCTCATTATTGGGACTGTATAGACTTAAGAAAGGTAGGATTGTTTCTCTAGAGATAACAACTAGTTTGTTTTACCATGTGACAGAAAGGGGAAATAAGAAACAAATCTGGATGGTGAAAGTCACCTAATGCAGTTTCTGAGCTCTCTTAAGACTGACTTTTCATGTGATAATAAGCAACATGGACATAAAGAAAACATGCTTCATACTGCTGAGGCAGGAGCTTATGTTCCTCTCAGCTTCTGCTTCACTCACTACGTATGTTAATAGCTGCAAAACAGCTCTAATCGTGTTAGTCTGTTCCAGATCATTATTGCATGATTGCAGTAATTGTGTTAGTACCTATCAGAATTTGAAATATTTAGATTAAACCACAAAACTTGGGGGAGAGCACTATCTATCTGCTACAGATTAAAGTGAGTCGATTTGAAAGGATTTAACTGTGTATTCTCATTTTGTATCACCTCTCTTCTAGCCCACTCTTAACTGGTCAAGTTTTAGAGAGAATTGCCACAGAATTTAATCAACTACAATTTCATGCAGTACAAAGCAAAGGAATGCCCCTTTTGGACAAAGTGAGACCAGTAAGTATTGCATGATATCCAGCTTAACACATGTGGGATCAAGCAAAGCCAATATAATTGGAAGACAAATGCCTGTTTCCAGAGTTTTATTGAATTAATTTATGGGGGGAAAATGGGTTTCATGAGGTTATTTTTATCAGTTGACTAGAACTATTGCTTTTTCTGAGGATTTATGCCTTGTTTGCTAACTTCTTGAGAATAAATTACATAGAACAAGAGTAGGAAATATGACAGACATTTTTGCCAGCCTAATGTATCTTGCAGTGTGTCTGCTTACTGATATTGAGACTTGTTCTAGCGATTGATGCTGGTTTTGTTGGCTGCAGTGTACAGACCAGAATATAAATGGAATGTGCCTATACAGTGCCTGGCTTGAATTTATTCAAGTTTGTCTTTTGGTGAAATGTGTTGTCTAACTCTGGCCATGCAGGCCAGTATACTAATCTCCCCAGTGTCCTGTTTGTAAATAAATATCTACTGTAAAAGATGCGTTGATGATTTGGTGGGGTTTTTTTTCTTCTACCCATTCAGTGTAGAGAGGGAACAAATGAAAACTGGTGCTGAAAGGCAGATATGAGTATGGAGATGGGATAATGCTTTCAGATGATTAGTATGGAGGTGTCATTCCTGATGGCTTTTGAGCTAGCAAGGTAGTTCATAGTTCTAGTTTTTCACTGTGTATCTACATACCTATTGGCAATATAAACATGTAGTTTATACTATTTATATTTATACTATACCTATTGGCAATATAAACATGTACCCTGGGAAACAGCCCTTGGAAAAAAGGGTGTCCAGGTGGGATGGACATACTTCAAGAAGTAATTCTTGAATGTGCAGGAGCAGCTGTCCTGATGTGCCGTAAGGCGAGCCGGCGGGGAAGGCAGCCAGCCTGGCTGAACAGGGAGACTTTGCAGGAAATTATGTAAAAAAAAGAGAGTTTACCAACTTTGGAAAAAAGGGCAGGCTACTCCAGAAGAGTTCAGGAATATAGTCAGGTCATGTAGGAAGAAAATTAGAGAGATAAAGGCACTCTTTGAATTAAATCTGGCCACTTCTGTCAGGGATAGCAAAAAGTGTCTCTAAATACATCAATAGCAAAAGGAAGGGCAAGGAAAACCTTCATTCCTTGTTGGACATGGGAGGGAACAGAGCAACCCAAGATGAGGAAAAGGCTGAGGTGCTTAACACCTTCTTTGCCTCAGTTTTCAATAGCAGGACAGGTTGTCCTCAGGACAACTGGCCTCTAGAGCTGATAGACAGAGATAGGAAGCCAAATAACCCCCCTGAAATCCAAGAGGAAATGGTTAGAGATCTGCTTAGCTGCTTGGATCCTCACATATCTGGGGGACCAGATGGGATCCATCCCAGAGTGATGAGGAGCTGACGGAAGAGTCGCCAAGCTGCTCTCCATCATGTTCCGACAGTCCTGGCTCACTGGGGAGGTCCCAGAGGCTTGAAAGTTGGTGAATGTCATGCCAATCCACGAAAAGGGTTGCAAGGAGGACCAGGGAAACTAAAAACCTATCAGCCTGACCTCAGTGTCTGGCAAAGTCATGGAGCAGGTCAACCTAAGTGCAGTCACACAGCACCTACAGGATGGACAAGGGATCAGACCCAGCCAGCATGGGTTTAGGAAGGGCAGGTCCAGTCTGACCAACCTGATCTCCTTTGATATAAATTGATAGTTCAACTTTGACTATATTAATGTGCGTTGCTGAACTTGCTTCAAACACAGAGTTGTCAGGATCATCTTGCACGAGGAGTATATCTGCAGGTTGCATAGCAGTAAGTTGGATCTAGTGGAAAAGATGTGGATGGAGATCAGGAAAAATGGCTAGCAAAAGTGAGAATATATGTAGACTGAAGAAAGTGTTTGGCAGAAGTCAGAAGGATTCTAATGACATGTTTTTGTTTGGGGTTTTTGGTTTTTTTTTTGCTACTGTCTCTCAGTGTCTTTAGTTGACAGTAATTTGACAAGTAGTGCTGGGAACACACAGTCTTTTTAGTTTCTGACAGAGAGGGATAAATGCTGCAGTTGTTATCCCTGGTTACTTATTGTAAATCTTTTGTTTATTGTCACACACAGTGGTTCAATTGAACAAGGGACAATTCTTGACCCATTTCCTCGGGACAAAGCAGACCTTACGTAACTTACCTCATAACTTAGAACATATAGAGGAAAATAATTGCCTTTAGCCTTATTATAATAGCATCAGTGGCCCATTAAGGTTGTGTTAATGTTCATTTAACACTGGCAAGTATCAAAGCTTTTGCACCTTTCAAATGAAAATGGAAAGCTGAGTTAGGTGTTTCTGGATGAGTTTGCTTCAGCAATGATGACACGGATTTGCTTTTGTGTTTTTATTACTGTATTTTGTTTCTCTTCATAGCGTATAGCTGGAATAACAGCTATGTTGCAGCAGTCTCTGGAGGGGCTGCTCTTGGAAGGCCTTCAGACTTCAAATGTTGACATAATACGTCACTGTCTTCGCACTTATGCCACAATTGACAAAACACGAGATGCAGAGGCATTAGTTGGTCAAGTGCTGGTAAAACCTTATGTAGATGAGGTAAGATAAAGTAAAAAACTCCCAGTGGATTTGCAAACATGCTTATTTTTCCTGTTAAGCTACAACTTTTGTTAGGAACTTCAAAATATCTTTGTGGAGGGAGAAGGAGAGCTGAGCCCCAATAAAATGTCAGTGGATTGTTGTGGCTATTTGAGAAAGAAAGGATGGATGAATTCTCTTACCTGCCTGTCACCAATTTCCATTTCTATCCAGATGGGATTATTTTTCTTACCTGTATTTTTCTTGGGCTGAGGGATCAAAAAACCAAACCTTAAACCAAGCATATGACTGGAGAAAAATCCCTTTTATTATGGACCAGGGGACATCTGTGGGAATTGGATCAGATCTAGGGTTTGGTTTTCAGTAGCAGACAAATGTGGCAAAAATTTGTTTTAGTGCAATGTCCTTTTCTTCCCATTGTATGAAAAAACAGATCTGCAGTTTCCAGCTGTACCAGGATATTAGGAAGAGCAGGAACAAGTGTTTGTTTGGGAAGCATTTGCTGTTGTCTGGTAGGAAAAATGTGTCAGGTGGCCAATTTTTTTAATTCATGAAAAACTAATTTTAGTAGACTGTCAGTTTGCAGTACCAGGTTGGATTGATCACAAAGTACTGATTGAATTTTCTGAGATTACAGAACTTTCTGTGAATTTTCTCCACTGTGCAACTTGTTCCTCACCGTCTTGTAATGCAGTTGGTTCTTACTGCTTCTTCTGGTCTGAACTGTTGGTGATGATTCTACACTGGTTTTTGCCTTCTTTGTGGTTGATGATAATGTAATCACCCCCCCCCCCCCCACAACCCAACCCAAAAAAAAAGCTCGGACAGTAACCTGCCACCATCAGGTAACAGTCAGCAAGTCAATCAGGTGTGCTCAGTCTTTCATAAATGCTTTAAATACACTGTCCTTAATGGAGAAGTTACTTTGAGCCAGCACCAGGACTATGAACTTGTTGACTCAAAACTAGCATTGTGAATCTTTCAGCAGCATTAATTTTCCTGCTCCTGTGGGGAGGAAAATGTATGAAGTACAGGAACTGCCTAGGTGATTGGAAATATACACTTGTCTGAATTTGAGCATGTTAATACCATGCAGAGTAGATCTTCATCATTACCTCTGTAATACATAGCAAGCTTCAGTTGTTAGCATAGAAAACACATAATCACAGAATGATTATATGGGTGCTTTTATTGAAGAGCTCTGGGAGTCGGGGTACAGACCCAAATCTGACTCCGACATGGTTCTGATATGGATACATTTTTATACTCTTCTCTTACATAACCATGGTATAGTCATATGTTAATCATTACTTTGCCATTGTTCTATTGATTTCATCCAAGCATGATTCGAGTTCTCTTTCATCCTTGTTATGCTTCACCCAAGCATGAGTTTCAGTCCCCCTTTCATCATTGTTGTATTTCAACCGAGCATGAGTTCGAACCCCCTTTTCCATTATGGTGGTATAATTATCTGTTATTTAGGGGGTACGTACAGATAGGTACCCAGGTGTACATGCACAGGTACACATCGACCTGCTAAGATAATGATCACTCTTCTCATTAAGGCCTATTCTAGCTACCTTGCCACTGAGGCCTACTTTGGCTACCTTGCCACTAAGGCCTACTTTAACTCCCATGATTTTAGAAACATTTTATCCCATGTTATCACAGTGGCTTTGAGCCCCAAGTTATGCTGTTAATGTATCTTTCTCTTCGCTGTCACATTTTTCTTTTGTTGTCATTACTCTTTAAATTGAGGTATTTAACAACGTGCTCTCTGCTCAGTAAACCATGAGAGGCATGTTGTGATGTGAGGTACTCTTTTCTGCTTTGAGGGTATTTAAAAATTTTTTCTCTAGTGGTATTAAAAAAAAAAAAGGGACTGTGTATAGTATAGTGTTAACTTTTTTTAAGACCCATAGAAACAATGTGAACATTGTTTCTAAAAGTATTGAATAGTGGTTTAACCCCAGCTAGCAACAGAGCCACTCACAGCCACTCACGCACTCCCCCACCAACGGGATGGGGGAGAGAATCAGAAGGGTAAAGGCAAGAAGAACTCATGGATTGAGATAAATACAGTTTAATAGAGAAAGCAAAAGTCATGCACACAAGCAAAGCAAAACAAGGAATTCATTCATTGCTGCCCACAGAGAAGATGTGTTCAGCCAGCTCCAGGAGATCAGGGCACCACCTTGCGTAACAGTTGATTGGGAAGAAAAATGCCATCACTCCAAATGTCCCCCTCCTTCCCCCACTTTACATACTGAGCATGGTGTCCTATGGCATGGAATATCCCTTTGGTCAGTTTGGGTCACCTGCCCTGGCTCTGTCTCTTCCCAGTCTCCCATGCACTCCCAGCTTCCTTGCCAGTGTGGCAGTACAGAAAGCAGCAAAGACTCTGTGTAAGCTCTGCTCAGCAATAACAAAAACAGCTCTATGTTATCAACCCTGTGCTCAGCACAAATCCTCTACCTCAGCCCAAACCAGCGCAATGTGTTCCTGTTTCTTACACTGATGTGCCTTTTTGAATAAAATGCAGAAGTGATCTTAAGGTATTTGCTGCTTTTTTTTTTATTTCATGGTCACATTGTTCCCTCCCAAGGCAAGGGACAAGTTAATCTGTATAACTTTTGCTGAAGAAATTGTTCTTCTAAATCAAGATGGGGAGAAGCAATTACTTTTTTTTTCATTCAGTAATGTCTTCAGCAGCCAAGAGATGGAATTATTACCTTTCCCTTCCCTGGAAAGAATAGTATGTCTGTAACATCTGAGGTGTATGTCACTGTCAGTAGGATGTTTATTTTTTGCTGTTGGGAAGGAAACATTTAAATTTATTCTGGTTTTGCTTTTTATGCATATAGGTGTACAAAGCAAAGCCAGCTCCTGGCTTTTGGATGGGAGAGGGAGTTGAATGGTGGTGACCTCTCCCCTTAAGGACAAACTTTGTTTGGGTGCTTGCTAATGCTGTAGCAACTGCTGCAGTGGGGGACTGGTTGTCTACGCCTTGGTTTTCTCAGTGTCTACTCTTTCACCACTTCTGCACCATTCCACTTGTGTTCATAGCAAGAGGCGAAAGTGTTCAGACAGGTGGAAGAATACCCAAAAATAAGCTATTGTTTTTCTCCTTTATTGTCCAACTACTGTCTGCCTTCTCTTTAGGCAGAGATTATCCCTTTTGACTGAATATGAGGTACTGTCCAGACAAACTGTTTTGCTAGCTGCATTAAAGGCTTAGCGTTGTCACAGAAGACTCTTGGCTTTGGCGTGCCTGTATTTGGGATTGGACCAACAACCTCTACATCTAGAAGAAATTATTTTGCTTTATTCTGAGCTGTGATTAGCTTTTGCCAGTCACCCATTTCCCTTCACAGGCTGCTTCAGGTGTTAGTGATGTGGGGAGCCAGATATGGTGGCTAACATTTGAAAGCAAGGAGCTCATGCCTATTCTTGGGACCAGTCTTGGCAGTTTGAGTGCTGCATTAAAGGAAGTAATAATTCAAGCTCTCAAGTTATGCTTGGAAACTGTAACATAAAGTTATAGTGTTAGTTTTGAGAGAGTAGTCTGTGAGTCTTGCATGAAAGCATTTTATATTCACTCTTCTGACATTTAACATTGAACTCTTCCTGGCAGGTGATTGTGGAACAGTATGTTCAGTCTCATCCTAATGGCCTCCAGGCTATGTACAATAGACTGTTGGAGTTTGTTCCTCATCATTGCCGTCTCCTGCGTGAGGTAACAGGAGGAGCAATTTCGAGGTAAGTATCTTGGGATTTCTCTGGGTTGCACTGAAGTAACAACAAGTATCATATACTTTTGAAATGCTTTGCACTATTAGCTTTCATGTACTGATGATTTATCTGGCCTTTCCTGAAGATTCATAGTCGAGTTTGATTTCTCTCACATGTCTACATTTTTCAAAACAAAACAGTGAACAGACTCGCTTAGTGCTGTGGCCCAGGCCTTCAGAGGAAGGAAAGACAATCCTGTACTTCAGTAGTAGAAGTGAGTCCTGTTCATAATACAGTGTGTCAGATAACTTGGTTTTTTGAACCCATTAAATATAACTGTACACTTCATCCAAGGAGAAGAGCATAATAAAGCGATTTAAAGTGTGAGTTCAAAAGTTATTCAGTTGTTAGTGCACATCAGAAAAGTGGAGATGTTCCTCAGAGATTTGGCTGATTTATTGTATGTACTGAGACTACAGGTTTAATTGATTTGTGCTCCCACTGTCTTCTCAAAAAGTGCTTAATTCCTTATGCAATTAAATTGCCTGTTTTGAAGTTTAAATAATTCAGGTCTACTGAATTGTATCCATTTATTCATCTGTTTGCAGCCTGGTTAATATAGTAGACTGCTGTAATTAGCAGAACTATGGATGTAGCCCCTAGGGACTGGAGAATTACTTTTCTAATTAGTCATCCATTGCTGAGCTTTTATGACTCCAAAGTTTTACTAACATTTCAATTCTTTTAATCCCTTGGCAAGTTTTAATCTCTCTTCTTAATAATGGAATGTTTCTACTTTGTACTGCGGTATACTGGACTGGAATTGAATGCTTTTATCTCTTCTGCTCTCAATTTATAAGTTTTCATAATCAAGGTAGCTTTTTAACTTCTGCTTCGAAGCACAATATCATGGATAAATACAGCTTGGAACAACTAGGAAAAAGTTGTGCTTCTTTTTGTTGCATTAGTCACATTACGCCGTCTTGGAAGTTTGGAGCTCATAAAACCTGAATTATACCAATAACAATAGGAATTCTCGGCTGAAGTGTACTCATTTTACACAACACACTTAACAAAATATATAGCTTAAAATTTTAAAACACTCAGAGTTGCAAGAAAAGCCTTACACTTGATGAGACTGTGGAATCAGATAAGAAACCTCAAGGGAATAATAGTTTAATATAATATTAA